GGGGCAGATACAACGTAAAAGGCCTGCAGAAACCGGTGCCATCTCACCAAAGCCTCTCATTATGCCTCCCTTTTTTCCCACAATTTCCCTCAAGCAGCTATCTGATCTTCTGATTGTTGTATTCAGTGCCCCAGACACTGGCCGCCACCCTCAGTCCATGAGATAGCAGGAAGCCACCGATAACATCAACCAGTGACAATTATTAAGTGGGAGTCATTTCCTGTCTCAATAGAACACAAAGACGCGGGGAATCGCCTTCATTGTATCACTAGGAAATACTAGGAAATAAGAATTAAGAACTTATTTACTCCCTGGAGTTCATGTTAACTCAAAGCTCAGTGTGTTTATTTTAAGACGTGAGCGGTCCTCTGGGCCCACAGTTTTCCAAAGCAGAACGAACAACACAATAACGACAGAACCGCTGACCTTGGAAAGGGTCATATTGACCAGGGATGAGTGGGTAACCCATGCCCACGTGGGTGTGGTGGTGCGTGTGCAGGTGCCGCTGGCTGAACGGCGAGTGGCGGTCCCTCTCCCGTTCTGCCTCCCGCTCCCGCTCTGCTGTCGCCTTTTCCACGGGCTGCAACAGAAAAGAAAGACGGGCCCCTCTGAATACTCTGAAAAACAACCGACAGGAGTGCTAACCCACTTCTGTCCTTTGAGCCCTATGTGTAAATGATTCAGAAGCAAACACAGAGATACTTAACATTCCTTACTAAGTGAAGATCATTTCAAAAGGCACGCATGAGTTCCAGTTGGCAATAAGCCAAAGCTAAAGAAATGCCCCACCTAAAAGTTAACCAGGTGGCATCAGGGTTTGCCTCAAGTGATGGAAATGAAAGAACATTTTCTTTACAGTCGCTCGAAATTGCAAGATTAGGATCTACCCGATTTCTTCTCAGAAACAACATTTATACATGGGTCAAGAAGGTTGAAAAAAATTTTCTAATGACTGTATTTTACTTACATTTTGTGGGGCGAATGTATCTCCCAATTCTCAATACACCTTATCCATTTTAGCCCATTGAAAATACACCTCTCGGGGTGCCTGGGTGGCTCAGTAGGTTAAGAGTTTGAGTTCAGCTCAGTTCTGATCTCACCGTTCAGGAGTTCGAGCCCCACATCGGGCTCTGTGCTGACAAGCTCAGAGCCTGGAGCCTGCTTCAGATTCTGTGCCTCCCTCTCTCTCTCTGCCCCTCCCCCACTCTTTCTCTCTCTCAAAAATAAACAAACGTTAAAAAAAAAATCTTTTGAAAAACAAATAAAGAAAATACACCTCTCGACAAGACAGGGCAATACCAAGTACGGGAAATCATCGCCCTGTGCCTCTGAAAGCATTCCGGAATCCGGCAGCTTCTGAAGGCTCAACGAAAAGCTGTGGTTCTCCCGAATCACAGTTTACGACTGCCTTTCCTACGCGTGTCTGCCCACTAGAACCCGGCCAACCTGAGGTTCTCATTGTCATGTGGAAAGAAAAAAAAATGCCTGTGCTGGAAGGAAAACCGAAATAGATTCACAAATCCCCTTTCCTCGCTTACAGAGTCCCTGCTGGACTCGTCCACATCAAAGATCTTTGGATCTTACTCCAAACTTCTTTTCTGGGCAAGAACGGCCACACCCTTTTGTGTCTCTTGACAACAGCCTTTAGGACAAGTAGTTGCCCTCTTTCACGGAGGGGGTGGTGCCGGGATGGGAGCAAGGGTGGAGCCATCTTTCACAAAGGCACGTGTCTCCCTGGCTTCGGGAAGTTACAGGGACAGGACAATGGGTCGAGGCCAAAACAGACAGGTGCAGCCGTCCCTTCCCCACGCGACTCACCCGTGCCAGTGCATCAAAATATCCGCCATCAGAAATACTTCGCGCCGCAAGCCGGCTCCTATGAATTTACATGTCCACCTAGCAGACGCCCTCCTGGGCAGTCAAGGCACGGTGCATTTTGCGACAGAAAAGCTCGCCAGCACCACATACGCTTTGACGATTCTTTTTCTTCCCCCCTCCTGTGTGAAAGCATCTTACCTTTGAACATTGCGTCCTTTATGTGCGAAGATAAAACAGCATCTTGAAATCAGAGCCGGGTTCGAAAACCATTTATATTTCAAGACCGCTTCCTAGCTTGTCCCCTCTTCTCCCCCAAAACATGGTACTTTTAAGTAACAACAAAAGGAGGCTTACGGCAGGAGACTTGCTATGGTACTGGTTGGCGTGCTGCTGGAGCAAGTCCAGCGCTTTTGATTCCGATGTTGTTTTCGTGTTGATGCTAGGGCTGGTATTGACTTTCTCTGCCTCTTCTCTCCCTGACATCTTCCCATAAACAGGATAATGAAAGCCTGGAGAGAGATAGGCCCCTGCAGATAAACAACAAATGCCACATCAAGTTATGGGCTCCATTTTTTAAACAGGAGAAAAAAAAAAAAATCACTCGGGTTACAACGAATTTGGGCTAAGAGTCGGAGACCTTAAAATAGGGGATTACATTAAGAATGGGCTACATCATCGTTAAAGTGCACGACGAAGGTTCTCCGATTTTCTTCTCCCAGTTAATTCGTCCTGATGAACGGAGGTCATAAACAGAATTGAGCTTACAGCCATTTCATACATTTACGCGTCCGCTTAAGTGAAAGGAACAGTAACTATAATGATTATGACAGTGAGCGCCGAGAATATTTTCACAGGCAATAAAGTATCTGTCAGTCTAACAGACGAGAGCATCAGAGTCTATGGAAACTAGAGCTGGGAACCGTTGACGTTTTCTCTAAGACAAAACAAAACGAACTCATGTTAAGTAAGTTTCATCCTGGGGACTTGAAGCAGCATAAACACAAGCAAAACAAACGCGACCACTGAAGCATCTCATTTATCCTGAGCTTTTCAGTAACCACTAAGTGAATGTAGCCTCTTCCCTCTAAGAGAGCGAGAACCCGCGACACGTACCAGGGTAACTGTGCATTAGGACAGGAGAAACAGCCCGGTATGCAGGGTGGCTGGGGTCATACATCTGTGGGTAAGGATAAGCATGCAAGTACTGTATGTAGGGCTGATGCTGACTCAGAGGCGAGGAAACTGCCACTCTCGTTCCCCGAGAGTCCTTCCAGTTCACAGGCGTCTTCCGATCATCACTCTTGAGCTTGTTCTCCTCCGTGGACTGAGAATCCGGGCGCTTGGCCTCTTTGGGCTCCTCCTTAATGCTCGTTAATGACACGGGGAGGCTG